GGAGATTGTTAGTAATATTGTACAACTAAAACCATGGAAAAATAACATCCCGAAAGAAACCGGGGGGGAGGGGGGAGCCCCGCCTGGGCACGCAGGTCCCACATGCCACGCAGGGGCCGGGGACCACAGCCAGCACTCTTGGGGGGTAGCGTCTGTCTCGGAGGGTTTTGCTGCACTGTGGCCCATCCCGGCGCCTGTCATCTGCAGGAGGAAGCAACGTGGCATTGGCCCTGTCCCTCTTGCGGGGCCTGGGAGCGCAGGTTCCCTCCGCTGCTCCGAGTCCCCTCCCCCCTCCCTCTCGTGCGTGTGGCATGGGGCGTTTTGTTGCTTGCCATCCCAGTGCTTTGTTCTTGCCTCCTAAGGGGTCCTCTTAACAATTCTGTGTAAGAGCAAAACCAAACCGCTGCTGCTGCTGTCTCTAAGGTTAAGGAGAAGCTGCTGGGGAAAGGGTGGGGCCTGGAGCTGGAGCAAGGGTGAGGGCTGAGGCAGCAGCCAGAGCAGGGGCAGGGGTTGGAGCTGAAGTGGGGACCGGGGCTGTGGCTGGCTCTCCCAGTGGCCTGGAAGCATTGCCGTGGTCTATGGAAGAAGAGGCCTCCTCTGGTTCCCTGTCCTCTTTAGCAGCCAGGCCCTCAGGGTCAGGAAGCGACTCCTCGGAATCCGTATTCAGGTCTTCCTCATCGTCGTCTTCGTCATCGTCATCATCGTCATCATCCTCTTCATCATCCTCCTCGTTCATCTCCTCATCGTCCTCCTCGTCTTCTTGGGAGGAGTCGTCATCGTCTTCTGCGTCGCCAGAGTTGGATGCCACTGTCCCGCCCTCCTGGGGAGCTGCCCCTGCTCGGCTGGGGGAAGGGCCCCCAGCCGCTTCTGACTGCTTCTTGCTGAGGTCCAGGGAGTCGCTGAGGCCCACGCCGGCCGCGTTCTGCAGGAAGAAGAGGGAGCTGCTGGCATCCGTGCCCAGGTTGAGGGAGCTGTCCAGGTTGACGGAAGAGTTCTGGATGTCGTACTCCAGCCCAGTGGAGTGGGGGAGACCCTCGGGGCCAGGGGAGATGGCGGGCAGCTCCCCTCGCTCCTGCTTCTCGTGTTTGCGCTTATGCGAGTCCATCTGTGACATGCCCACCACCGTGTGCTTGCAGCCGGGGTAGGTGCAGTGAAAGTGGGAGCACTTGAGTTTGTACTTGCAGTCGGGCACTTCGCAGTCCACGCTCGAGCTGAACTGGCAGAAGCCGGCGGCACTGATGACGTCCTGCTTGCCGTGGTGCTTGCGGTGGGCTGTCACCTTGGTGCTGTCGGTGCAGCGGAAGCCGCAGCGCAGGCAGTGGAAGTGCGTGCTGTTGCCAGAGAACTGGCAGTCAGGGAAGTTGCAGCTCAGCGAGGACTTGAAGCGCTTGAAGTCATCCAGCACCAGGTTGTCAACGCGGTCGTGGTGCTGAGCGTGCTTGTACATGTGGGTGCGGCCACAGAACTTGTAGCCACAGTTCTCCCGGGTGCAGTGGTAGTGGGTGACCTTGAGGGAGAACTGGCAGCTGGAATCTTTGCAGTCCTCATAGAGGTCGTAGCGCCGGAAGCCCTCCAGCATCATCCCCTCATCCAGCATCTTGCGTGAGGATGCTGTCTTGCGGCGCTTGCCAAAGGGAGACATGTCCTCAATGATCCAGAAGCGCTTTTTGGCCCCGGAGGCAGTTGGCATGGTGATGGTGTTCCCTGGGGACAGGAAGGGAGAAAGGAATTAGAGGAGCAGCAGGAACCCGCATCCCCTCCAGCACCTGCCAGGCTGACCCAGACCCTGTATTGGCCCACTAGCGTGGCCGAACCATGATGCTGCAGCCAACGTGATCCCACTCTGTCATCCACCTAGGGGATTCTGTTGGCTGGTACCTGCTGGATGCTACAGCAGCAGGGCTTGGCTGACACATTCCACAAAGGAAACCCTTATGGCTGCTGCTTTTCTAGCCTTAGTCCTGCCTAGAGACTGGGGGCTGCTTCTCAACAGCTTTGTGGATCTCCCAGTCACTTTGCTGTTCCTAGTCCTCTTTTTCCGGTGAACTGGCATTTAGCACCGGGGAGTCAGCTCATCGCAGCCAAAAGAAGAGGGCACTCTGCTATAGTTTCACAGAAGTCTGCTGGTTCCTTTCACCCTGTGCCATCCCCAAACTCTTCACAAGGTCTGCGCACAAAATGCACTCTGGGCAGGGGCAGCACTGGTGCAATTCTGTGCAACTGTTGAGGCGAGGCAGAAAGTGAAGAAGAATCCCAGATTTAATTGAAGCTGCAAGGGGGATTTATTGAAGCAAGATGGACTTTGGCCAGGAGACTGTAACATCCCTCACCGTAATGAGCCTACATATTACAGTGATGAGTACATTTAGAAAGACAGATGGACAGATGTTCAATGGGGCTAATTCTCATCATGACTAGCCAGGAGGCTGCACATGAAAATACCACTTTGGAAGCTTTCCCTTGGGGGCCTCCACAATCAGATTAAGGGACCCACATCAGGCTCCCAGTTTCACCCTGACAGGCAGGATCGCTGGCTGAGACTGGAGTCCCAGAGGATGAAGCAGACACCAACAACTTGGCCACCTCCTACCCATTAACATCCTTGCACCGCTGGTTATGCCCCAGGTCACTTATAAGATGCCAACTCCAGCATGCTTGCAAACCTTTGAGTTTAATTGGAAATTAGAGTTCACAACAAAACAGAGATTTCTGAGCTGGGTTTGCAGCCTGATGAAGACAGGCTTGACGAGTGCCATGCAATGCCTGCAGTCTGTGCTCCAGACAATCCACAGCAGTTTGCATTTAGGCCTTGGGGTCTGGAGGAATGTGCAACCATTTAACTTAATGCTACTGCCAGTCTTCTGGCTGGTGAGCAGCACTGAAGGTGGTGGGTGCTGATTTGACCCTACCCAGCCCCTCAAACGATGTCCCCCTACAAAGGGGCTTGTCAAATGGCACTGCGGATGGGCAGCACAGGCTGAACAATGCACCTCTGGCGTGAATGGCAGCAGGCCAGGCTGCCCCCAGCATGCACTGCTGTGTGCCTGAACTGGGCAGACCCTGTTGAGCAGGGAAAGGCTCATTCAGCGTGTGGCACCTTGCTAAGCCGGCTGCTCGGGGCTTGTTTGTGACTCTCACGGGAAGGGGATCTTAGTGATGTACGCACATGTACATTAGGAACTGGCCTACGCCCCACCAGTCTCATTTAGCCACAGATCAGCCACCAGGGAGGAGACAGCTGCTACAGATTTCAACCAGATTCAAACTAGCAACCCTCAGGTTGCAGTATCCCCATCCCATAACCACCCAGGCCCCCTACACACACTTCACTATCAATTCTTATGAGCAACAAGAAGCATTGCTGGTGCCTGGCTCCCTGGGCAACTCCTGAACCTATTGCCACTGAAAAAAAGAAATCTACACCAAAGCAGAGGAGTCCAGTCTTGGGCTGAACTCGGATCTCATTCACACCTGGGTAAACTGGGAGTAATTCCAACCTTCAGGGAAGACAGTCTGGGATTAAGGCCTTGAATCTGTTTAAAACCTCATTTTTAGTTCAGCTGGTTCCACTTTCTCATGCAGAGAATC